CGGGATGGGTGGTGGGGCAGGGGGGACAGGATGGGATGGAGGTGAAGGGTCAACTTGGTGGGAGCTCCAGGAGGACTGTGGTATTTACAGAGCACCTACTGTATGCAGGAGCCCTGAGAAGTCATTCCAAGTTCAAGGCAAAAACAAGTTTGCTATGGAGAGAACCCCTCCCCCAGCGGCCCTGTAAAGGTTACTACCGGCCCCCTCAGCCACCCAGGGATGAGGAAGCTGAGAAGGCCAACGGCAAGGCCAGCCCAGCCTCTGCATAGCTCCCTGGGGGCCAGGCCTGGAAAATACCTGGAATGGTGAGGTCTAGGGGTCACCGCCTCATCCTGTCCAGGAGTTCCAGCCTCCTGGACGGGCGCCCAGAGGCCTGAGGGGGTGCCAGCCACATAGGGTTCAAATCCCAACCTTGCTCTGACCTTCCAGGTCACCCCTGTTCATGCATTAGCTCATCTATGGCGCACTGACCCAGGGCTGTCCAAAACCCACAGGACCCCTCCTCTCAGGGAGCGTTCACTCTCCCCCCACCGTCTGGCCTCAGTTTCCTCTTCTGTGAAATGGGCCCGGTCAGGCCACGCCCAGGCTCAGGGCTGCTCAAACTCCCAGAGGGGAGAGCTGAGAGGGCGGGAGCAGGTTGAGATGGATCCAGGCTCCCTGGGCACTGTGCCTGGCACACGGGAGGCGCCCAATAAATGCTTGCTTGAGCGAGGAGGAGCCTTCAATAAATAACAGCTGTTGTGGACGCTGTGGATGCTGGCGAGGGAGTGGGCCCTCCCCTCCCCCTCGCTGTTCCCCCTTCCCTGCCTCTGATCCCCCCACCCGATGTGCCTCCTCCCCCTTGCCCCACCTCTTTCCTTTCCATCTCCCCCTCCCCTGACCACCCCCCCAGCTCCCATTCCCCTGTTCCCCTTACCCCTACCCAATTCTCCCTCCCTCCCGATACCCCGACCCTAGTCTTCCTCCCCTCCCCCACTCCCCCGCCCACTATCCCCGCCCCCACCGTGTCGCCCCCCCGCCCCCACCCCTCCCCCGCCCCCACGGCGGGGCGCCGGTCCGGGCGGGGCCGCCCGAGCTCCCGGGGCCCTGGCTCGGGTCCAGCCCGCGGCCCAGGCCGGGCGGCGGCGGGCGGGGTCCTGGCGGCGCGCGGTTTGGGGGTTTTTTTATAACCCTGGCAGGCGGCTCAGGAAGTGCCGTCCCCGCGCCCCCTCCCCCGGCCACGCCGCCGCGCTCGCTCCCTCCCTTCCTGCGCGCGGGCCGGCGAGACCGCGGCGGGACAGCAGGCGGAGGCCCGGGCGGGCGGCCGGCCGCGGGTAACGGAGCGGGCGGGGCGCGTAGGGCCGGGGGGCTGCGGGCGACCCTGCGTGTCCGCGACGCAGCCCGGGGTTGGCCCCGGGCCGCGGGGCCGGGGACGTCGGGCCGTGGGGGCCGCGGCGGTGTGCGATGCCCCTGAGCTTGTGCGACACGCACCGCGCCCTTGGGGTCCTGGGAGCTCGGGTCTGGGTTTGTTTGCTCTGGGTGTGCGTGTGTGTGGATGTGGATATCCACGTCTGTGTAAATGCCGTGTGTCAGCGCCTGTGTGCCTACGTGAACATCTGAATGTCTGGCTGTGTTTGAACTTGTGTGTGATGTGTGATGTGGGTATTGTGTGTCTGCGGAAATGTGAGTGTAAGCCAGTGTGTGCACGGAGTTCAGTGTCTCCTGGGTAAGTGTCCGTTGAGTGTGTGTTTGCACACATCTGCCGGCGTGTCTCCCTGTGTGTGTCAGGGTGTAAGGAGTATGTAAATGCCTGTGAGTACAGACATCTGGTGGGTCTCAAGGTTTGCAGGACTGTGTGAGTGTGTTCTGGTCTGTTCTGAGTGTGTACGTGTCTGTGCACGTAGGCCCGGGTGTGTGTGTCTGTCTGTGGGGTGTGTGTGAATGAGTGTGTGTGCACGTAGGTCTGGGAAGTGTGTGGTTGTGTCTCGGGTGTTGGGAGGTGTGTGTACTGAGTGGGGGGGTGTCTTGTGGGTCTGGGGGTGTCTGGTTGTTGGTCCCCCGGCTGCACAGGTATGGTCACCCTCAAGTCTCTGTATGTGTGTGTGTGTGTGTGTGTCTGGGTGTGGGAGGGGCGCCGCCCACTTCCCCTGAGTTGGTCACTGGGGCCTCGGAGGTCTGTCTCCGGCGTCTCCAGCCAGGGGCTCAGGGCCTTTAATTAGCGGCTGGCTGCCTACCCAGCGGGTGCCTGGGTGCCGGCCTCCTCCCGGGCCGGGCCTTTGTCTGCTCTCCTCTCCAGGCTGGGAGTCCGGCCCCGGGGCAGCCACCATCTCTGCCTTAGCCTCCACAGGGAGGCTCTGTGGCCCTGGCCCCCAGCACAGCCCTGGAGTCTGGGTGTAGAGCAGCGGGGGTCCCCCCAGGATCCCCAGGGTGGGATGGAGTCTCCTTAGTAGCGGCGGTTTCCGTCCGGCATTTCCTCCCCCAGCCTCCAGCGAGCTGGCACCCTCCCCCACACCGGCCACCTCCCTCCTGCCTTCCAGGAGGAGGAGCTGGGGGGAAGGCCAGGCCTGGGTACACACACACACAAACACACTCCTGCAGCCGCGCGCAGGGTCACATGGGCAGACACCACACAAAGTCACACAGTCACAGACGTGTGATCACCCCTCACATGCAGCCTGGGGGAGACCCCCTGCTGACATCCTGTTGCCCCCACCCCTAGAGGCTCAGGCCCGGAATCCTCTACCTGTCCCCAAGCCTCCTCTCTTCCCTGCTCCAGAGTCACCAAGCTGTTCATGGCCCCCCCACCAACACAGGCTGTCCCCCTGTTACAGATGCTGGCCTCCCCCTGGTAGACACCTCGTACCTGACCCCCCTCCAGGCTCCTCCGACCCCACCCCACCCATCACCTGCGCTGGGTCCTCCACCCTCTCCACGACACCCCCTTGAGCTGGAAGCACCAGAGGCGGGTGAGGTTGCTGGGGGGAGGGGCCCAGCTTCAGAGGAAGGAGGTGAGGACTGTACCAGGCCTGGCAGCGGCAGGCAGGAGGAGGAGAGAGACGGGACTGGGGGAGGCCCGGGGGCTCCAGCCTCCTTTGCAGGGAGAATGCTGCCTCCTGGACATGGGGAGGTGCTTAAGGCAGGAAGGGACTCAAGGGACCCCACGCAGGGAGGGCTTTAATCCCAGAGCTAGTCAGGGATGGAATGGGAGAGGAGATGGGAGTGGGGTGGGAGAGGGGGACAGAAGTGGGGGAGGAGGGAACTTTGGGGGATTGGGGACTAGGAACCGAGGGAGGATAAAAGCCAAAAGGAGGTTGACCAGGGCAGGGGAGAAGGTGTCCTCAGTGACCCCTGAACTCCAGCCCCAGCTCCGCTCTCCTCACTGCCCCTTCCCACCCTGTCCAGGCTCCCAGAAGAGGCACTGAGGCCCAGAGGGACCCGCACACAAGGGTTCAACACCACGCCACCAACTGAAGCCCCCAAAAGGTAAACAGGAGGGGGAGAAAGAAACCCCCGGGGTGAACATCAGCCTGTCTGAAAAGAGGAACAGTCAGAGTGAGAGTGAGCTCCCCATCACTGGGGCGGGGGGGTGGGGGGACTCCAATCAGAAGAGGGGGAGAGGTCAGCTTCTAAGTCAGCATCTATCTGGCTTCACCCCTCAGGAGCTGAACTGCCCTGTTTGGGGATCAACTCTCAGACTTGGCCAGGCTGCAAAGAAAACAAGACAGTGTGTGATTAAGGGGGAAATTGCACAGAGGAGGAGGAGGAGGGCGGAGACAGGAGGGGGTGGAGGGCTTGGCACGGGGTGGTGGCCCAGAGCGGTGTCTGTGGCAGGCTGGCCCAGGGTAGAGGCTGGAGAAACAGACCTGCCCCGCAGGCCTGAAGCTTCGAGGAAGAATCGGAAATGAGAGGAAGCGGGACTAAGGGCCAGGCTGGAAGGCTAGGGTGAAGAGAGGTCACGGGGACAGAGACCAGGATGCAGGGCGGGGTGAGTGGTTCTACCCATGGCAGAGAATCCCAGGGCGGGACCCCTCACCCAGGGTGGGAGGGGTGCCAAGCACTGGGCTTGGGTTTCATCTGGGTTGAAAATTCTCGCTGGCCGACCTTCACATGTGTCCCAGGCCAGTCTCCCTCTCCCCGTGTGGTCCTCCTGCACTGGCCCTCGGAGTCATGGGTCCGCACCAAGCTCCTCCCTGCCCCTGGGACCTTTGCTCCTGCTGGTCCTCCCCCTGGCACACCCTCTCCTGTCTTCATCCTCCCACCTCCACTTTCAAGCCTCTCGGTTACTTCTCATAAAGAACATGTCTTGATCTGAATCATGTGTCTCTTCATTTACTGGTCTGTCCTCTTGCTCCTGGGAGACTTGAGTCCCATGGGTTGAGTGGGGAGTGGGGCAGGGACTATATTCATATTATCCATGGACTGTACCCCGCCAGGCTCTTCTGTCCATGAGATTCTCCAGGCAAGAATACTGGTGTGGGTTGCCATGCCCTTCTCCAGGGGATCTTCCCAACCCAGGATGGAACCTGCGTTTCCTGCATTGCAGGCAGATTCTTTACCGCCTGAGCCACCAGGGAAGCCTATCTTATGTACAGTCACCACCTGATGAGTGAATCCTAAGGGTTATCGTGGAGATGAAATCAGATGGCATGAATGTACTTAGCCAGTAGCCGGCACGTAGTAGGTGCTCGTGGAGTCAAGATCCTCAGCTGTCCTAAGAGGATAAGGAGGATGCTGGGGGTGTGGGGGGTGGGCAGGAGGAGGGAGTTTACTGAGCTAGAGATGGGTTCAGTCTTCAAACCTGGAGTGGGGAGAGGGTTGGCTGCAGGTGCCCTTGTCCACCTGGCAAGGGACCTTGGCACTGCTCCAGCCGGCAGTAGGTCCAGGCCCCCTCTGACCCAGCTTCCCACCCTTCCACCTCCCAGGAGCCCGGTGATGCTGCCCAGGCTGTGAACAGGGAAGGCAGCGCTGCGTGGGCTGCCAGCAGCCGGGGCTGGGGAGAGACATGTGGACACGTGGCCTCTATGGCTCCCGCCTGCCAGATCCTCCACTGGGCCCTCGCCCTGGGGCTGGGCCTCGCATTCGAGGTCACACACGCCTTCCGGTCTCAAGGTAGGCCCAACCCAGGATGGGGGGTGGCAGTGGGAACTGAACGGGGATCGTGGTGGGGGGAGGCCCTGGGGTCAGTGAGGCCAGAGTCTTGCGGCCAGTGACCCAGATTCAGGGGCCACTGGAGCCAGCCTCACTCACCCGGCAGCCAAGCAGGCAGCACACAGGGCTCCTTCCCGGGGCCCACCCCAGGCCTCTGACCCTCACCCGCAGATGAGTTCCTGTCCAGTCTAGACAGCTATGAGATCGCCTTCCCCACCCGAGTGGACCACAACGGGGCACTGCTGGCCTTCTCGCCCCCGGCTCCCCGGAGGCAGCGTCGGGGCACGGGACCTCAAGCAGAGTCCCGTCTCTTCTACAAGGTGGCCGCACCCAGCACCCACTTCCTGCTAAACCTGACCCACAGCCCTCGCCTCCTGGCGGGGCACGTGTCCGTGGAGTACTGGACTCGAGAAGGCCTGGCCTGGCAGAGGGCCGCCCGGCCCCACTGCCTCTACGCGGGCCACCTGCAGGGCCAGGCCAGCAGCTCCCACGTGGCCATCAGCACCTGCGGGGGCCTGGTGAGTGGAGGGTTCTGGGAGAGAGGGTGGAATGCCTACGAGCTTGGGAGTTAAGAAGAACACTTATATAGGTCACAGAAGAAATCACAACGGCAGGGTTTTTTATTATTCCAATCTTTCCCCGCTCTCTTTCTTCCTTTCTGTCTCTATTCGGCTGCACCGGGTCTTAGTTGCAGCACACAGGATGTTCAGTCTTCCGTCGTGCATGCCGGATCTCTAGTGGCAGCATGCAGACTCTTAGTTGTTCTGTGTGGGATCTAGTTCCCTGAGCAGGGATTGAACCCGGGTCCCCTGCCTTGGAAGTGCAGAGTCTTAGCCACTGGACCACCAGGGAAGTCCCCCTCAGTGGGAGATTTTGAAACATTTTGAGCTAATCAAGAGGATTAGCTATTTTAAGATGCAGCTAAAGCAGTGCTTAGAAGAAAATGTGTAGCCTTAGGTCAGGCTGAAAATTAATGAGCTGAACACCCATCTGAAGAAACTGAAAAGGCAGTAGTAATGTAAACCAAGTGAAACAGAAGGAATGAAATCAGAACGACAGAGATAGGGTCCCAGGGTCCTGGGAACCAGAACCTGACCGAACCTTCTGCCCCACTTCCCAACCCCCAGCACGGCCTGATTGTGGCAGATGAAGAAGAATACTTAATCGAGCCCCTGCAAGGGGGGCCCAAGGGGCACCGGGGACCGGAGGAGAGTGGCCCCCACGTGGTGTATAAGCGTTCCTCTCTGCGTCACCCTCACCTGGACACAGCCTGTGGAGTGAGAGGTACAACTGGCTGTCTGGGGCTGGGCAGAGGGACTGCACAATACCTGTGCCTCGAGATAGAGGTACATGCCAGTGTCCCTCCATCTGGAAGGTCAGTTGCATGCAGGGAGCAATGCAGACAGTCAGCAGGGCAGTAGGCAGTGGAACAGCCCACCTGTCACTTCCAGAGTCCAATGGCCCAACAATGAATGAGACAGGCAGCCAGATAGCCAGCCAGGTGCTGTAAAACCATCCATCTCTGGGATTATCATCTGATCAGACAATTAAGCAGTGGGATAGTGGTAGCAGATGCTGGAGCAGTTGCACAATGGAAAATGTCAGGAGAAATTAGCCACCATTCAGAAGATCAGATTTACAACCAGATGTGCAGGGGGACGGTTATAACATCAGATATTTAGGGGATAGGAAAGGAAGTAAAGTGTTAGTTGCTCAGTCGTGTCCAGCTCATTGCAACCCTTTGGACTATTGCCTGCCAAGCTGCTCAGTCCATGGAATTCTCCAGGCAAGAATACTGGAGTGGGTAGCTTTTCCCATCTCCAGGGGAATCTTCCCGAACCAGAGATTGAATCCAAGTCTCCCACATTGCAGGCAGATTGTTTACCGTCTTGAGCCACTGGGGGAGCCAGCTGGACAACAAGGATTCACCAGGATAGTCATAGAGCTAAAAAAAATAATCTCTGTCCAGTGAAAATGCAGAACCACTGGAATGTTGTTAGTTGCATATCTGACTGACAGTCTCAAAGTAGCATATCATAGCAGACACACAACCACAGTGAGTTGTCCTAACAGAAAAGTGGTGTCACAGTTGGATGGTCAGTGAGACAGCTGGTCAGAAAAGACTGTCAGGCAGGGGGATTATTCTACAGCCAGACAGTTGGGCTGCAGGGTGAGTAAAAAGTTGCCCAGTCAGAAGGCCAGAGAGTCATACCAGCACACAGTTCTGGCAGTGTAGCAGGCTGCTACACACCTCGATTCTGGCAGTAGAATTGTAGGGAAGTTGCATGGTCATGTTGATTGTCATGGGATGCTGGGTGGCTGTTAGACCAGTGAGTTTGGCAGTGGGGCAGCCTCACCATTGTAGAACCAAGAGCCAGAGCATGAGGTGTTTGACAGCCAGATGAACCATCAGACAGGGACTCGGACACCTCGAGCAAGCAGCAGAATGACCAGAAATTGTCCATCCAGATGAGAAACCGTGGAAGGGGCGGCCATGGTGGCTGCGCACCCTGAAACCGCCACCTGCCCGGCCCCTCGGCAATGAAACAGAGCGTGGCCAACCAGGCCTGAAGCGCTCCGTCAGCCGAGAGCGCTACGTGGAGACCCTAGTGGTGGCTGACAAGATGATGGTGGCCTACCACGGGCGCCGGGATGTGGAACAGTACGTGCTGGCCATCATGAACATTGTAAGTGCCTCCCCCTCCCTGGGCATGGACCCCCCAAAATGTGGAGCCCACCTCCAGAGTCAGGAAAAGGGCTGTCACCATCCCCCCATCGCTGATCAAATGCCAGTGAAACAGAATGGGAAGGGGACAGGGTGAGTTAGAAACAAAGCCTGTTAGTGACAAGTAGCCTAGCACGGTGGCTAGGAGCATGAACTCAGGAGCTAACCAACCTGGGCTTAAATCTCAGCTTTGCCAATCTTTGACTGTGTGCCCTTGAGCAAGCTACTTTGCCTCTCTGCCTTGGTTTACCCACCTGTAAAATGGGTTTAATAATAGTACCAACTTCATAAGGCTAAGTGGATGCAGTGAATTGCTAAAGTGCTCACAGATGCACCTAACTCACAGTACTTACCCTATAATTGTTTGCTGTATAAAATTAAACAGGCAACTTGCAGGTACTTGTTGAGGTTAGCAGTACACTTATGGGCGTGCATCTGTCTGCATGCAAAGCTTACCCGAGCACCACCCTATAAATTTATACAAGATGAGCTGGCTGACTCATACTCAGAGTCAGCACCCATCTTGGATCTTGATTAAGACTCTGGACCTCTCTGAGCCTCAGTTCCTGCCTCTGTAAAATGGGATTATAATAGTACCTGTCACAAAACTGTGGTGGGAGGGAAGACAGCTAGACAACTTGGCACGTAGTCAGGGCTTGGTGAGTGATGCTGTTGTTCCACTGAAGCAAAAAGGGAAGAGAGAAGGTTTAGCACAGACAGATGACCTATTATGTAGACATAATATCATGCCTAACCCCACTGTTTTCTGCCCAGGCTCTGCCTCCCTTCCTTGGGCTTCCAAGTTTCCTCTAACCTGCCAGGGTTTCTGGGGAGTTTCCATATGGGATGGTGATGGCTCAGGGCTTCAAGGTCATTGCACAGAGTGGCCTCCGTCATCCACCTCTCCTCTGACCACTTCCTCCTTCTCTCTGACCACTGTCTCCAGAGCTTCCTGCCTCCACACCTCCACTTTCCAGTGGTGATGCTCAAAATAGTGCCTTAAAGACAGTATGGAATGAGGCCAGATGTGCACATCTTTCAGGCTGCCTCTGGGCAGAGGCAGCTGTTGGGTGGGCATCGAGGATGGAGGACAAGTAGACAGGCTGTGCTGGAAAGACAAACGCTAGCAGGCAGGCTTAGCCAGACTCGAGTTCCACTTTCGGCACCTACCAGCTGTGTGTCCTGACCTCTCTGAGCATTGGGTGGCTTATCTGTAAAATGGGAATACTAATACCTACTTCTGTGAAGATCTGGGCAGCAGGCATAGCCTGAGCCCCAGCACACAGTAGGCACTTGATTGATACAGTTGTTGTCCTCGTTTCTGTTAAAGTTTCCTATTCTGGGCCCCTCTTAAGACTCGGTCTCTCTTGTTTCTTGGAGGTCAGGTTGCCAAACTTTTCCAGGACTCGAGTCTGGGAAACATCGTTAATATCCTGGTAACACGCCTCATCCTGCTCACGGAGGACCAGGTGCGGGGGAGGGGGGAGGTTCCCCCACCTTCCACCACCACAGAATTCAGCACTGCCTGCATTGCCCCCTGGGTGGCTGGTACCCGTGTACCTCACTCTGTCCATCCTCAGCCCACCCTGGAGATTACCCACCACGCCGGCAAGTCCCTGGACAGCTTTTGTAAGTGGCAGAAGTCCATCGTGAACCGCAGCGGCCATGGCAATGCCATCCCGGAGAATGGCGTGGCCAACCATGACACGGCAGTGCTCATCACGCGGTGAGGGGCAGGGGAAGGCTCCTGGGGGGCCTTCTGTGCGGGAGGGGGCCAGGGGGAGGAGCGAATGGTCCAGGGGATTGCCCAAGTCCAAACAGAGGTCACTTGTGCTGGGAGATGGGAGAGACCAGGACTGTCCAGTTGCCCTGGCTGGGGGAAGCTGCTGGGAGCCTGAGAATGTGGGGAGGCAGGTGGGGGTCTATTTGGGCACTGACTCATCCTTCACTCTGTCGTTTGTTCAGTTGGCCACTCATGCACCCCAGCATCTCCAAGGCTGGCTGGGGGAAGAGCATGAGGTTTTGGTTCAGGGGTGGGACTCGACCGTGAGAGGGGCGGGGTGGGGGAGGGGCGGCCCTTAGTGGGGTGGCCCAGCCTCCTGACCCCCACCTCCTCCCACAGCTATGACATCTGCATCTACAAGAACAAACCCTGCGGCACACTAGGTACCCGGGTCCCCTGGGTTTCAGGCACCTCTGAAGGCGGTGGGCTGGGTGACACTGGCCCCGGTGGGGGTGGGGACCTGGCAGAGTGGGCAGAACCGACAGACACAGCCCTGAGCCCCCAGCCCCACCCCACCCCCATGCCCATTCCCCAGGCCTGGCCCCTGTGGGCGGGATGTGCGAGCGAGAGAGAAGCTGTAGCATTAACGAGGATATCGGCCTGGCCACGGCGTTCACCATCGCCCACGAGATCGGACACACGTGAGGCCGGGGACAGGGGAGGCGGCAGGCAGGCGGAGTGGGGAAGTGTCGCCCGACACCTGGTGGAGCTGCTTGCTGCTCCTGTCCCCAGGTTTGGCATGAACCATGACGGCGTGGGCAACAGCTGCGGGGCCCGTGGCCAGGACCCAGCGAAGCTCATGGCGGCTCACATCACCATGAAGACCAACCCGTTTGTGTGGTCCTCCTGTAGCCGCGACTACATCACCAGCTTTCTGGAGTGAGGATCTGCCTGCCCAGGGTCTCACACTCATGTTGGGGGGAAAGGGGGTGCCTCCAAGGAGGGTGATCTGCTCAGGGCTGATCCCCAGGGTCCTGCACCCAACTGGGGCCCCTGTGCTCTTGGCCTGCAGCCCTCCAGTGTGACAGCCGCTCTCTTCTCTCCACAGCTCAGGCCTGGGGCTCTGCCTGAACAACCGGCCCCCCAGACAGGACTTCGTGTACCCAACCGTGGCCCCTGGCCAGGCCTACGACGCGGATGAGCAGTGCCGCTTCCAGCATGGAGTCAAATCGCGTCAGTGTAAATACGGGGTAGAGAGAGCCTTCCTGCTTTCCTTCCTGGGAGGGGAGGGGGCCCGCCACCACCAGGGTCAGGGGTGGGGTGGGGACAGGGGGTGGGGATGGGAGAGCTGGGAAGGGATGTGAGCCTCAGTGGCGGGTTCGGGCACAGAGATGGATGGGAGGGTTATACAAATGTCACACGCAATCTCAGTGCTCAAGGACAAGAATGGGATCCCCTTGCTTCTCCAGACCCCTGTTTTTGGGGCTGAGCTGGGGAGAACCTGGGGGTACCCCTTCTGTTGCAGCAGGACCAAAGCCCCAAGAGCCCTAACAGGGCCATTTTTAACCAAACATTCCAGACTTGGTGGAAATAGTTTCCCAGGGGATGAACCATCTTCCCCACTTGGCAAAAAAATAGGACGGAGGCTTCCAGGGACACCCTGTCTTCATTCCCTGCAACCCCCGCTGACTGGTTCACAAGATAGGATCTCTTGGCCCCAGTTCTTAGCTGGACAACCTCTGAGCCTCCTGGTCACGCCCCACTCTTTCTTGAGGCTTTAGGCTCAGCTCCCGAAGCCCCATCCGCCCAAGGAGGAGTGAGCTGAGGGTGCCCTCCCAGCTCCTCCCAGGAAACTGGTACCCCACTTGCTTCCCTCTCCAGCCACCAAGGACCCCTGGCTCATCTAGGGCCTGCCCCTCCCCTGCCCACCTTCCCCAGTTCCCTGAACATGCTCCCCAACTCGTTACAGCGTCACCCCAAATAGCCCAGCCGCAGCCCTTCACATCTTCAAGACTCAAAAAGATCAGTTTGAATGTCCAAGCCGAGGCTGTGTTAACTCAAAACAAGGAGCAGGGAGGTGTTAAAAGCCCTCACTTTATTCCAGTGCAAGACAGGGAAAGAAACCCTCAATCCATTAAATCTTTTTAAAGATTTATTTTATTTACTTATTTAGTTATTTTTGGCCATGCCGGATCTTCATTGCCGCGCACAAGCTTTAGTTGCAGAAAGCGGGGCTACTCTTCGTTGCAGAGCACAGGCTCTAGGCACATAGGCTTCAGTAGCTGTGGTCCCCAGGCTCTAGAATGGTGTCTCAGTAGTTGTTGCTCACAGGCTTAGCTGCCACATGGCGTGTGGGATCTTTCCGGACCAGAAATCAAATCCATGTCTCCTGCATTGGCAGGCGGATTCTCAACCACTGTACCACCAGGGAAGCCCCTTGATCCATTTATATTTAACCAACTCTTGCCACCCCACTCTACCCAACTTGGCTCCCTCTAGTGAATTCCTAAAGAATTCAGAAGCCACTTGAGCCTCTGCCATGTCCCAGGTGTCCTAACTGTGACAGTGATGGCAGACACTTAATGAATGCTCACTACAGGTCCAGCATGCCATACCTATCATCTCAGTTAAACTCCGGACAATCCTAACAGCCACACATTGCAGGGGGAAGGACTGAGGCATAGGACGAATGCCAAAGTCACAGTTAGAGAACATGGTGGAGCTAGGATTTGAGTCGAGGTTTTTTTATGAATCCAAATTTTATAATGAGGTAGGGAGGTGGAGGAAGTGCCAGATTATCAAGCACGGACCACTGCTGGTTGTATGTTGAATAGACTTTTCCTTTTATTTTTCCAAGGAACATCTTCTGGGCCCTCCTGACAAAGGGATAAATAATTGACTACATGTAACTCAGTTAATACGTGTAAAGAGCTGGGTCTGATGCATGGTCTGGAGGTAGTTGTGGCCTTTATTACTCCGTAACAAGGTGTTTGTGCAAGCCCTTTCGTATTGACTCTGTCGTCATACACCTCTCAGCCATATGTAGGCAAGGTCCATCTTACAGACAAGGCCTGGGGAGGGGGAATGTGTTGCAAATCAGTGCTGGAGTTAAAGTCTCCCAGAATTAAATGAGACCCAGGACTCATTTCTTACAGACCGTGGAACCTCCTTGTGGAAAGGAGCATGATCAGGGCTGGACTAGGCAGTTCTCTTTAAGAGGTGTCAGAAGTGGGATCTGTCATATTTTAACAAATGGCCAGGAGGATATAACCCAAGTGAAGCCAGAGAACCAGGCTGAAGTTTTTTGTGTTTTTTTTTTTTTAATAATTTTATTTATTTATTTATTTATTTATTTATTTTTATTTTTGGCTGTGCTGGGTCTTCATTGCTGTGTGGGCTTTTCTGTAGTTGCAGCAAGCGGGAGCTACTCTTTGTTGCAGTGCCCAGGATTCTCATTGAAGGCGCTTCTCTTGTTGTAGAGCACAGGCTGTAGGGTGAATGGGCTTCAGTGATTGCTGCACATGGGGTCAGAAGTTGTGGCTCCTGGGAACAATAGTTGTGGCCCACTGGCTTAGTTGTCCCAAGGCATGTGGGATCTTCCCAGACTAGGGATCGAGCCCATGACTTCTGCACTGGCAGGCAGACTCTTTGCCACTGAGCCACCAGAGGAGCCGCAGGCTGAGCTTTTAGATGAGAAGTGTCCTCTGAGGAAGCAAGTTTTGAGGACCACCTTGTAAGCTTCTCACATGTGTGCAGTTGTCTCTCAGAGGCTGACATGGGAAACGTCCCTTCCTGCAGCCATTGATGGGTCCAATCCCAAATCTTCAAAGCTTGGGAGGATCGGGTTCAAAGAGAAGAGTACATGTGATTGTAAAATGAGGCGAGAAGGATTTCTGCATCTCAGAGGCAAGACTCTGGGAAATGAACAGGATGTAGGCTAGAGGGTCAGATTTGGCCACATCTAAACCCAGGAAGGCTTGTCCAGGGATATTAATTAACCTGGACCTAAAGGGTCAGAATGGCTCCCTGGGACTGATCCAGCTTCCTGCCATGGACAGGACCTGCTGCCAGAGTCTTTGTCTTATGTGTTTAGTTGCTCAGTTGTGTCCAACTCTTTGTGACCCTTTGGACTGTAGCCCACCAGGCTCCTCTGTTGATGGGATTTTTCAGGCAAGAGTACCAAAGTGGGTTGCCAGAGTCTGAGCCAGCCCAAGTAAGACTCAGGAAGAAGATGGGCTGATTTTTCACTGGGAGAACTAGAGCAGCTTTCCACACAGACCCAGCCTGGCCTTATCCTCTCTCAACCTTTCATAGATTAAAACTTTGGGGAACTTCCCCAGTTTAGGTTGGGGAAACAATAAGAACCACCTGCTGGGGGAATAAATAAAAAGTTAAAGGTGGGGCCTTTGACCTGAGCCATCATCAAGCCTGGATTTTTCAGAACCACAGCTCTTGAGATGGGCTGCTTTGCCCACTCTAAAAAGAAATCCAGCATCCTTCCTCCTTATTCCTCAGCCAGTCCCAAGTTTCCTTCTAAAAACTTGGGAGGTGCCAGGGGTTGAACTCCCGGGAAGATCCCCTGGGGAAGGAAATGGCAACCCATTCCAGTATTCTTGCCTGGAAATCCCATGGATAGAAGGGCCTGTGTGCTAAGTCACTTCAGTTGTGTCCAGCTATTTGTGAACCCATGGACTGCAGCCTGCCAGGCTCCTCTGCCCATGGGATTCTCCAGGCAAGAAGACTGGAGTGGATTGCCATGTGCTCCTCCAGGGGATCTTACCAACCCAGGGATCGAACCTGTGGCTCTCACATCTAACCTGCATTGGCAGGCAGGTTCTTTACCGTTAGCACCACCTGGGAAGCCCAATCCATGGGTTTGGGCTACAATCCATGGGGTCAGACAGACTTAGCTTCTAAAGAAGGGGCTGAACTACAGAGAGATTAGATCGTAGACCCTGCGATCGATTGAAGTTCTGGGATAGAATCCAGATTGCCTCCTTAGTAGCTGTGTGACCTCTAGCAAGTGACCCTACCTCTCTGATCCTTGGTTTTACCACAGTAAAATGGAGAGTGTTGTGCCTAAGGGAGTTTGAGGCTCTCCTAGGTGTTTGATAGGACTTCCCTCGTAGCTCAGCTGGTAAAGAATCTGCCTGCAATGTGGGAGACCTGGGTTTGATCCCTGGGTTGAGAAGATCCCCTGGAGAAGGGAAAGGCTACCCATTCCAATATTCTTGCCTGGAGAATTCCATGGACTGTATGTATAGTCCGTGGGATAGTGGAGAGTTGGACCGAACTGAGCGACTTTCACTTTCACTAGATGTTTGATAAGTGCTGCTTATAGCCCGAGAAGAGGTCCCCTCCTATACCCTGCAAGTGGTTGCAAAAAGAAACCCAGGAAAGGAAGGCTGGAGCCCCACTGAGCGGGTCTCCTGGGTTCTCCCAAGGAAGGTGGGAGGGAGGGTCCGAGCCTGAGCGGGCACCTTGGCCCGCAGGAGGTCTGCAGCGAGTTGTGGTGTCTGAGCAAGAGCAACCGGTGCATCACCAACAGCATCCCGGCCGCCGAGGGCACGTTGTGCCAAACACACACCATCGACAAGGGGGTGAGCCTCGACCAGCCTGGGCCACCGCCGGGGCCCTCCATCGGCTTTGGCCACGCCCACTGCCTGCAGGTCCCGCCCCCTGCCCGAGGCCACACCCCTCCCATGCTACGCCCTGCATGCTTGGCCCAATACTAGCTCCGCCCACAGCTGGGGACCGTGTGCTTAGACCACGCCCCCACATTACCCTGTACTATCCCGGTCTCCGGGCCCCACCTCCATCCTCCCCCCCTTTCGCCCCACCCCCGGAGGGCTTAAAGCTGTGGGGCTGGGGAGGGGGTGGGAATGATCGCCAAGGCCTCGAGACTGCAGAGTCCGACTCACCCCTGCTTCATCATCCCACCCGCAGTGGTGCTACAAGCGGGTCTGCGTCCCCTTTGGGTCGCGGCCGGAAGGCGTGGACGGCGCCTGGGGCCCATGGACCCCGTGGGGCGACTGCAGCCGGACGTGCGGCGGCGGCGTGTCCTCCTCCAGCCGACACTGCGACAGCCCCAGGTCAGCCCTCAGGCCCTTCTGCCAGTAGAGGCGGGAGGCCCCTGCCCGCTATTCCTCTTGCCCCATTTCTCTCCTGTCGCCCCCCCGCTTCCAGGCCGACCATCGGGGGCAAGTACTGCCTGGGCGAGAGACGGAGGCACCGCTCCTGCAACACCGAGGTGAGTTCCCCAGGACCTCAAGCCGGGTAACCGAGGTCCCTCTGACACGAGGAAAGAAAGGCATAAGTCAGTTTCCAATGAGCTCTGACCGGGTGGCCACCATCTCCTTTGGAACCTGCAGCGGCCACCCGCTACTTTCCCAGCCCTCCCCACACCTGTCCTGGGTCCCAGCTCCTTCCAGCTCACACATTTGCAGTAGATGCGTCTCCCACCTAGAGATAATTGCTTGGCCCTGACAACCTTCTCCAGCCACAAGGGGCCCCTTCCTCTACTGCCCAGTTCTGCTCCCCCCCAAAGCCCCACCCCTGCCCCAAAGCTGACCCTGTGCTCCTTGCCAATCCAGTGGCCAAGTTTTCATTGCACTCCTTTCTGACCAGGGACCACCGTCTCCTGTCCAAAACTCCCAGCCACAAGTCCCACACACTCATGAAGAGGGTGCTTGACTCCTTTCTAGGCCCACTCTCAAGAAAGGCCCCATGGTCTGAAACCAGAAACCCAGGTGTCATTCTTAGCTTGCCCACAAACTCGAATGAGTCACCTACTCCCATTGCAGAGGCACCTGTCCCTCTGGCCTCCTCCCTGGCCTCCCTGCCTCCAGTCTCCAGAGCATAAGTTCTCCAACCCTGGAGCCTCTGCCCTAACTACATCCCCCCCACACTCTGTACCTGGCCTCCTGACTTCTCCCTTCTGGGGCCCGCCCCCCGCCCCCAGGACTGTCCCCCAGGCTCCCAGGACTTCAGGGAAATGCAGTGCTCTGAATTTGACAGCGTCCCCTTTCGTGGAAAATTCTACACATGGAAGACATACCGGGGAGGTGAGCGGGGGACTGAGATGGTCGTGGGGCGGTGGGGGTGGGGGGGTGGGCAGCCGCAGGTGGAGACAGGATCATGGGTTTTGTCTTGAGCAGCCCCTCTCCCAAGGAACCAGAGTGCCTATGAGTGCCTGGACTAAACAGCGGGGACCCCCACTTCCTCTGCCCAGCCTGCCCAGCCTCGCTGGGTCTGGGGTCCGGCCTTTGGTCTGACGGGGCTGTGCCCCCCAGGGGGCGTGAAGGCCTGCTCGCTCACCTGCCTAGCAGAGGGCTTCAACTTCTACACCGAGAGGGCCGCGGCCGTGGTGGACGGGACGCCCTGCCGCCCGGACACAGTGGACATCTGTGTCAGCGGCGAGTGCAAGGTGCAGGGGCCTCCCGGAGATGGCAGGGGAGGCGGGTGGCTGCAGGTGGGAGGCGGCTCCCGACACCCCCTCCCCCACCACTGCCCTCCCCAGCACGTGGGCTGCGACCGCGTCCTGGGCTCCGACCTGCGGGAGGACAAGTGCCGCGTGTGCGGAGGTGACGGGAGTGCCTGCGAGACCATCGAGGGGGTCTTCAGCCCAGCCTTGCTTGGGACTGGTGAGAGACCCCAGCTTCCCTCCCACACTCCCCCATTTGGCAGCTGGGGGCACAGCTCACCCCAGAACATCCAGGAGTGGTGCCCCAGGTCACAGTCAGGAACTAGCTTGGGCTCTGGTGCCTAAACCTTCGCAGTGAAAGCATCCCATGCCCCACCCTGAGGGTCTCATGCCATCTTGAGGAGCCAGGAGCGTGACTCTCCAAGGGGGCTGAGGTGATCTCTGTGCTAAACCACAAAGCTTACTAGGGGCAAGGGTAGCGGCAGGGTGTGGTGAACTCGAGGACTTCCCAACCTTGAGCTGAAGGAAAGAGACCCCAGGGAGTGTTTGGGGGGCAATGAGAGCTGGAAAGTGTTAAGGGCCCAAACAGGCACTGAAGGCCAAGTGTGGTTTCCAGGGGACAATGTGGGGGTCCAGGCAGATAAACCAGTATGCATGGGGGATGCAGGTGGGCAAGGATAGAGGGTCCACAGGGGCCCAAGATCATCCAGGTCATAAGTGATGGAGCCCATGGCAACCTGACTCTGACTGCTAAAACCATCAAGTCACCATATGTGGCTCAGGAACCCCATGGTACCCCCTTCCCTCTGCCCAAAGCTCAGTCCTGCTGCTTGTCTTAGGGTAGGGTGGGTTGAACCATTTTAGTGGTTGGAGAGGTAAGAAAGTTGGAGTTCAAATCCCAGCTGAACCACTTCCTAGCTATAAAACCTGGGCAAGCTGTTTCATCTCTTTGAGACTCAGTTTTGTCATCTGTAAAGTGGGTATAATGATGCATCTACTTCACAGAGCCAGAGACACAGCGGGCGTCTCTGTAAGCGCTTGGCACAGTAATGGTTAACTGCTGTCATCAGGGACCAGGCATGGGGGGCGGGGTGGGCAGGCAGGTACAGGGCCAGACCAAGCCAGTGACACCTGAGCTCCCCCGTCCAGGGTACGAGGAAGTCGTCTGGATCCCCAAAGGCTCCGTCCACATTTTCATCCAGGACTTGAACCTCTCCCTCAGTCACCTGGGTGAGCCAGAGGTGGGGGAATGAGGACTGGGGGTTAGCGGGGGTATCAGCGTGGCTGGGGTTCTGACCTTTCTGCTGTCCCCCAGCCCTGAAGGGAGACCAGGAGTCCCTGCTGCTGGAGGGGCTACCTGGGACCCCCCAGCCCCACCGCCTGCCCCTGGCTGGAACCACCTTTCAGCTCCGACAAGGGCCGGATCAGACCCAGAGCCTAGAAGCCCTGGGACCCATTAACGCATCTCTCATCGTCATGGTAACAGCAGGGCTGGGAGCACGGTGCAGGAGGACGTTAGCATCCTTTTGGGACCTCGAACTTGGCTTCTATTTGATCCTCCCCCGCCCCCCACCCCCCGCCGCTGCGACCCCAGGTACTGACCCGAACTGAACTGCCCGCCCTCCGCTACCGCTTCAATGCACCCATCGCCCGTGATGCACTGCCTCCCTACTCCTGGCACTACGCGCCCTGGACCAAGTGTTCAGCCCAGTGTGCAGGCGGTGAGACCCAGGACTGGGATGGGATGGGGCAGGTTCTGGTCACCAGGCTGACCTTCTGGGCCAGGCAGGGCTGAGCGGGCCTGTCACCCGCCCCCAGGCAGCCAGGTGCAGGCCGTAGAGTGCCGAAATCAGCTGGACAGCTCCGCCGTGGCCCCCCACCACTGCAGCGCCCACAGCAAGCTGCCCAAGAGGCAGCGTGCCTGCAACACGGAGCCCTGCCCACCTGAGTGAGTGCCGGCGGAGATGCAGGGTCGGGGTGACAAGCTCCTGGGATCAGAGGAGTCCAGGCTCCCTAAGGTGCAGTCAGGGGCGTCCCAGAGTCAGACTCAGAGCAGTGGTGCTCCCTGGTCAAGTCCAGGTCATTGTCTGCCCTTGGGGTGATGTGCCTCCCTGCCCCCAGTGTGGGCCCAGAGTAAAGATGTTCTGAGTTTGGGCTGTGGGGTGGCGGGAGCAGCAGGCATTCCGGTGCCAGCTTCCATAAGGATTCTGGTTGTCAGGCAGGAGGACCTGCTGGTGCCCCGAGGTCAGGGTTCTGCCCGGCCTACTGTCTCAGACCGCCCCCTCCCCCCGCAGCTGGGTGGTAGGGAACTGGTCTCGCTGCAGCCGCAGTTGTGATGCAGGCGTGCGCAGCCGCTCTGTCGTGTGCCAGCGCCGCGTGTCGGCGGCCGAGGAGAAGGCGCTGGACGACAGCGCTTGCCCGCAGCCGCGCCCTCCAGTACTGGAAGCCTGCCACGGCCCCGCCTGCCCTCCGGAGTGGGCCGCCCTCGACTGGTCGGAGGTCAGCCGCCCCTTCCCGCCCGCTGCCCACCCACTACTCCCTAGGCAGAACAGGGAGGGGCCGGGGTGGCCCCACATCGGGCGCCACCCCTCCTCCAGGCGCCCCCCCCCCCCGCACTCCCGCTGGCCCTAGTGGGCGCCCCGTGATTGGTCCAAAGTTAGCTATACCGTCCTCCGTTCCCACTGAATCAGCATCCATCCCAGTCCTTGTTCAAGCGGGAAGCGGGGCGCCCACTGAGCATGAAACGCCCCCTCCCAACTGCAGTGCACCCCCAGCTGCGGGCCGGGCCTCCGCCACCGCGTGGTCCTCTGTAAGAGCGCAGATCACCGCGCCACGCTGCCCCCCGCGCATTGCCAGCCCGCGGCCAAGCCACCAGCCACCATGCGCTGCAACCTGCGCCGCTGCCCTCCGGCCCGCTGGGTGGCGGGGGAGTGGGGCGAGGTAGGCGCGCGCCCCCTGCCGAGCGGGGACCCAGGGCAGGGGCGGCGGGGTGGGCGGCGGTGCCAGGCTTCCACTCATCGGCGACTCCTCACAGTGCTCCGCGCAGTGCGGCTTCGGGCAGCAGCAGCGCCCCGTGCGCTGTTCCAGCCACACCGGGCAGCCGTCGCGCGAGTGCGCCGAGGCCCTGCGGCCACCCGCCACGCAGCAGTGCGAGGCCAAGTGTGACAGCGCGCCCCCGGGGGACGGCTTGGAAGGTTTGTGGGGCTGGGGGGCCGAGGGGGACCGGGAGGGCCCTGTCCAGAGGATGCCATAGATAGGAGAGCTGAGGGTCCTGACCCTTGTCCGGAGAGTGCCTCCAAACACTGACATCCCTTTCTCTGCCACCTCCAGACCATCTTTCATCATCTCCTGCCCGCCAGCATGTATTGGGTACCACTGTGTGCCAGGCGTTGTAGGAACCCGATTTTTCTGGGGGCCCAAACTCAGGTCATCCCTTCAATCACCTCCCTGACTCTGACCCTCCCTGTTCATCTCCATCTATGACATTTGCTGTCATTCACTCGCTAGTTTGTGTCTGACTCTGCGACCCCATGGAAAACTTGCCCTCCACTCTTCCCCAGTGTGAGCTTCTCTGGTGGTTCAGACCAGTAAAGAATCCACCTGGTTGAGAAGGGAATGGCAACCTACTCCAGTATTCTTGCCCAGGAAACTCCATGGACAGAGGAGCCTGGCAGGCTGCAGTCCACAGGGTCACAAAGAGTTGGACAAGACTGAGCGACTAACACTTTCACTTTCACTTCCCCAGTAGCATATTGATCTGGGGGGCTCATTTCCCGTGTTCTCTTTTTGCCTTTTCAAACTGTTCATGGGGTTCTCACGACAAGAATACTGGAGTGGGTTGCCATTTTCTTCTCTAATGGACCACGTTTTGTCAGAACTCCTCACTATGACATGTCCGTCTTGGGTGGCCCTGCAGGCATAGCTCATAACTCCATTGTTATGCACACCCCTTCACCATGACAAGGCTGTGATCCATGAAAGGGAGCTACTACATTATCTACCTGATGTTTTTCTTTGCATCAGTTTCTCAGCCTCAGGCACTATTGATGTTTGGGGCCAAATGGTTCCTTGTCTCGGGGGCTGCCCTGTGCTTTGTCAATGGTTCAGCATCCCTGACCTTGCTAGATGCCAATGGTACCCCTTCTCCCAGTGGTGAAAACCGAAAAATGCCTCCAGACATGTCCAAATATCCCCTGGGAGGCAAAACCACCTCCCTTGGAAACTACTGCTCTAAATATGCCCATCTCTTTCTACCTAAGTAAATGTATATTTCATAGAGAGCTATAGGTTCCTTACTCTACGCACTGGAACCAAACTGCCTGGATTCATCTTCCATCTCTGTGTCTTGGTTTTCTTATCTGTCAAGAGGCGGAGGAGTAGTGGTATGTGTTAATATATTCACTGGAGGTAATACCACCTTAAGCTGCTGCTGCTGCTAAGTCGCTTCAGTCGTGTCTGACTCTGTGCGACCCCACAGACGGCAGCCCACCAGGCTCCTCCGTCCCTGGGATTCTCCAGGCAACAGTACCGGAGTAGGTCGCCAGTGCCTTCTCCGTACCACCTTAAGGAGAAAGACTAAATCCACGTGTAGCCCAGGCTCAGTCATACATCAGTGACTACTAAGTGGGAACCCTGGTCCATTATCAGGAACAGACTGTCAGTTACCCTTGAACACAGAATACACATATACCCTGAGAGGAAGGACCACACTGGAGTTCTAAGTCCCTAGTCTGTTACAAAGGGAAACGAGAAAGAGTTATATACGCCAAACGGGTAATTAGGAAAGGAACACTTTTCTCGTGATTTTAACACGGTATCCAAGTCCCAGTCCTGCACTCTCTTTCAAAATTCTCCAAAAAGCCTAGTGACATGGTTACTGTTAGAAGCCCCCCTTTGAGAGCTGAGAAGTCAAGGCACAGAGAAGCTAGGAAGCGGTGTGCAGCCACTGGTCGCCAGGCTACGGGTGGGAGGAAGCGGGGAGGCGCTGAGACCAGATTCCCCTCCCCTTCCTCTTCTCCCGCCCCTTTCAGAGTGCAAGGATGTGAACAAGGTCGCCTACTGCCCCCTGGTGCTGAAATTTCAGTTCTGCAGCAGAGCCTACTTCCGCCAGATGTGCTGCAAAACCTGCCAGGGTCGCTAGAGGGCGCTCGGCCTTCGGAGCGAGTCCTGGATGTGCGCGGGCTGGGGGTGGGGGGGGAACCAGACCTGCAGCCGACCAGCCTGAAGGAGCCCGAGGGGGCAGGAACTGGGAGTGAATGGTGAGATGGAGCTGGAAGTTATTTATTGGGAACTCCTGCAGGGCTCCTGACTGGGGGCGGGAGGGGGGTGAGGGAATGGAGAGGGGCTGGCCAAGCCCACGGCCCCTCCTCTTCGCACCTCTCAGTTCACAGAGAGACCCGCCCCCCCGCCCCCAGGGTGAGCTTGAGTTGGGAACAGTTGCTCTCTCTAGAACTCTTGCCACCCACCTTTAGGGAGCCCCCCTACACAACACCCGCCTTTGATCGGAATATGTACTGTGAAGAGTGGGGGTGGGGAGGGGGTCAGCCGGTGCCCTGCCCCCCCCAGCACTGCCCTGCCCCTCCACTCTGAGCTGGGGGGGAATCTATGTCCGCTATGGGGGAGGGGATTAGCACCACCTCCCTGACACCCTGCCCCCCGACCAGACCAGCTAGAGGGGGGAGGCAGAGCTGGGAAGACCCACCCCATTCTCTGCCTTGCCTGCCCCAGGGGGACCCCGTCATCCAGGCCACCCCCATGATGGTGCTACAGGCCCTGCCCTGGGGCCCACACACCCCCTCACCAGGAAGCCCTACATCAATAAAGTTCTGTCTTGTGTAGATTTCCGTGCCAAGCTGTGTGTGTGTGTGTGTGCGCGCGCGTGAATGGGTCCCACTCAGCTATCCCCCCGCCCTGGAAGGGGCCACAGCCCCTCACAGGTCGGCCCCAACAGCCCAAAGGGGACTTATACCAACATAGACTAGAACCCGGTAACTAGGTCAAAAACACAGTTGCTTCTTGGACTTCCTTGGTGGTCCAGTGGTTGAGCATCCGCCTGCCAATGCAGGGGACACAGGTTGGACCCCTGGGCTGGGAAGATGCCACATGCCTGTGGGCCAACTAACCCCGTGTACCACGACTCCCGAGCCCGTGCTAGAGTCTGCGTGCTGCAACTGCAGAAGCGGAGCAGCCCCATACTCCGCAAGAGACGCCACCGCAGTGAGAGGCCCACACACAGTAAGGAAGAGCAGCCCCACTCGCGACAGCTAGAGGAAGCCGGGTGCAGCAAGGAAGACCCAACAGAACCTAAAATAATCTTTTTTTTTTTTTTTTTTAAAGAATACAGCTTCCCACAGAGACTCCCAAAACAACGCAATCTGGCACCTGTTACCCCAGCCACCACACTCCCTGTCACTCTGCCGTCTCCAGCCGCACTGGACTCCTGAAATTTCCTCAAAATACCCACCATCTTCCCATTTTAGGGCCTTTGCTAGAGCTGTTTTCCTCTGCCAGGTGTACCCTCCCCTTCCCCCTTCACCTGGTTAACTCCAGCTCACTTCGCAGTCTCAGCAAAAAAAAAGTCGCCTCCTCCCAGACGCCTCCCCTGACGCCCTCAATAAGGCTGGGGGCGGGGGTGTCGTCCTGACTGTTCACGTCTAGTGCCCTGGAGACGCTGCTGAGGTTTGCAGGCACCAAGCCCGTCGGTTGAGAAACGGGCTGCTCCCCAGATGTGGCCACTAGGGGGCGCCGCGGCACGCCAGTCTCGGCGCTGGATGAGGTCGGTGTGTCTCCTGGAGCCCGGGGATACCCGGGTGTGCAGGCCTTCCTGCCAGGCTCTCCCAAGGTCGGTTTCTGCCTCCGCCACTTCCCCACTGTGTGGCAGACGACAGCCTCTCGGAACTGCCATTTCCTCAAACGTCAGGAGGAGACCAGCCTGCTGGTCTCCCAAACATCAGGAGATGGGCCAACATTTGATGAATGCCATGTGCTTCCCTGGTAGCTCAGACGGTCAAGAATCTGACGGCAATGCTGGAGGCCCGGGTTCCATCCCTGGGTTGGGAAGATCCCCTGGAGGAGGGCATGGCAACCCACTCCAGTATTCTTGCCTGGGAATCCCATGGACAGAGAGGGCTGGCGGGCTACAGTCCATGGGGTCACAGAGTCAGAACGACTGAGCGACTAATACGGATGTGCTCGCCAGGCGCCCCCGGCAGGATCCCCAGCCCCACCGCCGCCGTTTTGGGATGAGAAAATGAAGAGAGCTGGGACGGAGGGGGGAGCGGGGGGCGGCAGTCATTAATTCTAGACGTAACATCCAAAGCCTGGGACCTTCCAAATGCCCCTGGCTCTCGGGACCCCCCACTCCCACTGCTCTCTCCCTGGCAGAAACGCACCTGATTCCCAAGGTCCCTCCTGGAAGAAAGACCAGCGGAAGTGGCTTCGGAAGTGGGAGTTTGCCCCGGGATGCCCAGAGCAGATACACATCTCAAGTGGGTCTGGAAGACTCCTGAGCAGCCCAGGACAGAACAATCAGTCTGCAGCCAGCTGACCCTTGTCCCTCTTGCTGTAGCCGGGTCCCCGGGTGACGGGGGGCGGGGGGGGGGGTGGCGCGAGGGTGTTGGAGACGCGGTTTCCTGGGGTCTGGCAGCTGCTGCCTTCCATCCTTAACCTCTCCCTTCAGGCTCCGGGCCCCAGACCCGCAGCTCCCTCGGGCCCGTCTGGGCGCTCTCCCCGCCCCCAGGCTCAGCTTCCCTCCCCGGTAGCCGCGGGCCCCTCCCGCCAAAGGAAGTGAGAAGGGGGCTGTTGTAAGAGGAACTGGGGCCTGGAGTCTGCCGGAGGAGCAGGAGCAGGGCCATGCCCGAGCCGCCCCCAGGAGCCTCCTGAGCCTGCGCCCCTCCTGCGACCCCTCCAGGCACCTCCCCAGGGACCCAGACACCAGCCCCCACCATGGTAAGTCATCAGGGTGGGCCCTGAAGTGCCGCAGTCGGGGGCACCAGGCAGATGGAAGTGTCTAGAGGCCGCCACCAGAACGTGGGACCATGGGAATGGGCACAGCAGACCCTCTGGGATTCTGCCGTACAACTCAGGTGCTCCAATCATCCCACACCAGGCACCAAGCTCCCATTGGGTGGTGGACACGATGCCAGGGTGGGCTTGGGGCACCAAGGATGGAGCAGTAACCGGAGGACAGAAGATGGTTTTGAAGGCTCACACAGCGCCTGCAGGTGCAGGGACAAACCCCTTTCCTGGGGTGTGGGGAACCCAGTTCCCAGCCGAGTTTGGTGCCTCATCTCCCTGTGTGGCTTTGGGCCAGTCACTTCCCCCTCTGCAGGCCTCAGTTCCCACGCATGTCATATTTGGAAGTCTCTCAGGATGTGGAAGGTGTTTGGGGGAACCTTCAGAGGGTCTTGGGATCCAGCCTCTCTGAGCCCACCACAGTTGGGAGAGAAAGCTGGGTCAAGTGGGTGGTGGGTTGTCATGACGGTGGCATGCCAGCGTCCCAGTGTGGGTGACAGGGTGGTTTGGCGTAGTCATCACAGAAGTGGGAGTGGGTGAGATGAAACCTGTCCATACCACCACGCTACCTTCTGCTGGAGGGTGACAGGGAAAAAAACACTGCACCCAGAAGCATCACCGCCTGGTGAGACTGAGGTCTGATGATGATAAGGTTGTAGAGACAGTCATGGTCCTCGGTCTAGATCCAGTAGCATCATGTCACACTCATGAAGAGGAGACTTGGCTGGCTATAAATGTCACACCTCTGTCCCCCGCAGCCAAAGTTCCATGGTTCTGCAAGCCACTTCAGCTTTCATTTTTTGTCAACCTGTCCATTAGGGCGTGTGGCTGGGGACAGTCACAGAGCTAAGGGTGACAACTGCAGGGTTCCTGGCAGTTGCTGCAATGTAGAGGCAGGGATTGCGAGATCACCCTATTTCAGAAAGCCAGTGATAAATGGGGCATCACGGGCCACGGACCCCTCTGGTTAACCCACAAGCAAACCATCAGCTAGAGCTCTGGGCTTGAGATGGAAGCCCTTCCAAGACGGAGCCGGGCCAGGAACACTCCTTGATCAAAGAAACACAGGAAATAATTTGCTACTTGTGAGAAAAGCAACCCCTCCCAAGGAAACCGTGTGAAATGCTGAGTCAATGATTTGCTTGGCTAATCAGGTCTGGGAAGGGAGAAACTCACCCAAGAGGATCACAAATTTAAAAAAAAAAAAAAAAGAGTGTAATTTATCCATGAGGTTAATACCTCTGTCTAGGGGTGCTGATATCTTCCTGGAGGGGTGCTGGATGCCAGAAAGAGTGTTGAAAGAGTCAGTGAAATGATGTTTGTCAAGTGCTTCACAGAGCACATAATATGCTCCATACACAGCAGCAGCCATTGTGGGTGATGCATATTCATGGTGGGAGTTAGCCATGGTGATGGATGGATGTGGCTTCATTCTTGGTTCCTGTGGAAGAGTTGGGTTGTTGATGTCATTGTTCATGACGGTGGTCGTTGCTGTCTGCTGTCCCATGTCGGTGGTGTGGTGGTGGCAGGGATGGCTGCTTTTAGTGCCAGCTAGTGTTGAATATTGGTGGCTGGCGGCTGCTTGCTTTCCTCTGGAGGGTTGATCTCTAGAATAATGGCAGTTGGTCATCGTTTGAAGTTGGGTGGTGACAGTGATGTTCATTTGCTCTTGGTCATTCATTGATGATTTGGGTGACTGTCTTGGGACTGGTGGTGATGTACTGTTGGTCTGGAAAGGGGTATGATTGAATGCTGAACTTCCTAGGTGGCTCAGTGCTAAAGAATCTGTTTGCCAACACAGGACACTGCGTTCGATCCCTGGGTCGGGGAGATCCCCTGGAGAAGGAAATAGCAACCCATTCCAGTATTCTTGCCTGGAAAATCCCGTTTACAGAGAAGCCTGGCAGGCTACAGTCCACAGCGTCGCAGAAGAGTCTGTGACTGCTAGTTATGATTTAGTGACTAGAGAACAACTGACCGCTGCTTCAGTGGTGGTAGGTTACATGTGCTTGTTGACGGCTACTATTGTGATTGTGGTTGTTACTGTCAATGGTGATTGGTTATTATGGGTTGTTGGTGCCGGTGGTAATGAGTGCTGATGGTGGTGAGTGATGGTAAGGAAATGGG